CTGCTGTCAGCTCCTGGGGACAGAGGGAATGATGAGTCCCTGACCTCCACTGAAGAGTGGGGAGGTCCTAGGGATACAGCAGTGGGAGCGTTTGATGGATGGGGAATTGTATCGCGGCTCCAAGTCCTCAACTTTTCATTCCAGAGGAAGGAAGGCAGCTGGCTCGGGGAACATGAGCCCTGTCCTCGGGGTAATGATTTACGGGCACCCACCTGACCTGAAACCACCCTTCCTGTCCCCACTCTTCCCAGGCCTTTGTTTTCTCTCCCTGGTCACTTCCTTGGAAGGGGAGAGGGGCTGAGGTGGCGCCTCCACGCGATGCCCCCCTCCCAGACATGCCCCTCCGCGGCTCCCTCCCAGCCTCACGCAGCTCACCAGGTACAGCTTCTCCCCCTCCAGCCAGTGTCTCCAGCCTCGGTTGGGGACCTCCCCTCTCTGCACGCACACCAGCTGCTCCTCCTCCCAGGTTACTATGGTCTGTAAGGGAAGGCAGGGATAAAGGAAGGCTGGGAGACAGCCTCACTCTGGCTAAGCTTGCCCCTTCCAGCTCCTTCAGTCTGAGTGAGAAAGCGGCTTCGCTTCGGTGGGACTCCCCTCCCTTCTCCTAAAAGCCACTGAAGGGGCCATGGTTGTCTGCAGTGACTTTTGGAGGGGAGACCAGGGGACAGCAGGACAACAGATGAAGGGTTGAGCCTTTGACCTCTGGATACTTCCGGCTGACCTGGAGGGACTTTGGGGAGAGAAGAGAGATTGGGACGGTGTCCCCCAGCTCATCTCTCGTTCCCACTGTCTTAGTTTGGGGACAGCTGAGATGTCCCAGGGAATGCAGGGCTGGCCCTTTGGGTCTGGACATTCCCAACCACATTCACTAAGCTACATGAGGAGCTCAAGTCTCCAACAGCCAGAGGACCAGCAAACGGGGCTGTTGGCGACACCTGGTGTATGTGTGTTGGGCTAGGAGTGGGGAGGGAAGAGGCATGCTTTTAAGGAAAGATGGGAGATAGATAAGGGAAGTTTCCAGTAAGGAAAGAAATAGCACAGAGGTAAGAAAGAAAGGCAGATAGTTCATAAGGGCTTTAACCTATGGTGTATGTGTGAAAGGCAAAGAAGGAGCCGCTTCACATGCCCTGGGGAGCACGTGGACTTTCCAGGACTGTCACATACGGTCACATAGTCGGGGAATGGCACGGGCCTGTTTTAATTTCTGACAGGTCTTGGGGCTGTCGTACACAGAGGGGATTAGAGGAGGGCTAAGACTGGAGCCAGGCTCAGATGCTGGGTGAGAAATGGGGGCCTGAATTTAGGCGGTGTTACTGAGGAAGGCTAGGAAAGGACAAGTGCAAGCCAAGAATGACGTGCAATGGAGACAACACGCGTCATGAATGCAAGTCACATGTAAAATGTAAACATTTCTAGGAGTACCATTGGAAGCATAAAAAGAAGCAGATGAAATTGATTTTAATAATGTATTTTATTTAACTGAAGACATTCAAATTATTCTAATTTCTGCTTGTGGTTAAAAAAAAGTTTCTGGTGGCAGGGAGAGGATATTATCTTAAAATCCAGTATGTAGACTTTATAGTTCCAGCACAGCTCAACTTGGACTAGTTACATTGTAAATGTTCAATAGCTCTACCTGGTTAGGAGTTACTATACTGTGCATTGCAGAGAAGTTAGACTTCTTGACCAATTATGTTGTGTGTGTGTGTGTGTGTCTGTCTGTCTGTCTTGGGTGGCACAGAGGCACGGAAGCCAGAGATGTTGACCGTGACCCCCAGGTCTCATGGTTACTACAATAAATGGATACAGGAAATCCAGAAGCAGAGTGCATTCGGGTGGGAAGATAATGAGTTTGACTTTGGAGCACTCACATGGAAATAATGTGCAGGGAGCTGACAGTATCACCCTGGAGCACAGGAAAAGATGCAGCCGGGAGAACAGAGGCCAAGGGCAGTTTATAGAGAACAGCAGAGGCGTGGATCTAGATGATTGAGCCCATGAATGGTGTACAGGGTACCTAAAAAATCTAATGGAAAATAGAATTAAAAGGTAAGTTTATTTCAGTGCAAGGATTTTGAAATCCATGAAAACAAAGAATCTTCAAAAAGTTCATGGGGAATGCATATCTTGAAAAACCTATGTATGGATTTCAAAATTTTTGCACCAAAATAAATTTGTTTTATTTCCATTTTTCTATAAAATGTTTGAAGTGCCCTTGTACAAATTTGAGAGCAAAACACTGTGGGGGGAGAGTGGAGTGGGAACTGTAGTTTAAGACATTAATAGGGGCTGGCGCCGCGGCTCACTAGGCTAATCCTCTGCCTTGCGGCGCCGGCACACCGGGTTCTAGTCCCGGTCGGGGCACTGGATTCTGTCCCGGTTGCCCCTCTTCCAGGCCAGCTCTCTGCTGTGGCCCGGGAGTGCAGTGGAGGATGGCCTAAGTACTTGGGCCCTGCACCCCATGGGAGACCAGGAGAAACACCTGGCTCCTGCCTTCGGATCAGCAGGGTGCGCCGGCCGCAGCGCACCGGCCCCGGTGGCCATTGGAGGGTGAACCAACAACAAAGGAAGACCTTTCTCTCTGTTCTCTCTCTCTCTCACTGTCCACTCTGCCTGATTAAAAAAAAAAAAAAAAGACATTAATAGGGTCTGCGAAAGACACCAAGAAGGAGCCCGTGAGTAGGAGGGTACGGTTATTGAGGCTGAGTGAAAAGGCATGGTGGTGACCAACATGTCACAGCCTGGAGGGCCAGCACATGTCTGTGCTGAGGATGGCTTTCTCTTCTTCTCTTTTTGCCGGGTAATAAGAAGGAACAGGGATGAAATGGGAAACAGTGGGGGGAGCACCAGGAGCCTGTTCACCCCAGAGACTGGCATCCTGGGGACCCCAGGGCCTGCTGTGGTGACCCCTTCCATGGTCCTGGAGGGGAGGGTCATTTTGTTAGAAAGCACCTGTTCATCTCCCCCTCCCCTCCCCCCACCCCAACAGGAAAAGTACCTGGCATTTTCGTCCATCCACGATCCGCAGGTCCTCCTCAAACTCAACCCCCACCTCGAATTCCATGACGTAGTTGCGGAAGGGGCTCAGAGTCTTCACGGTCATGTGGGTGCCCCGGTCGTCAATCTCCTTGTCTGGCTTCAGCAGCAGCACGAGCTTCCGCAGAGCCACGTGGATGTCTGTTGGGGGGGCCACCTCTAAGCTGGCTCCTGCCAGAGGGCCCTTGGTGCTGGAGCTGTGAGCCCTCCCTTGGGTTTGGGCCTGGAGATCCAGCCCCTCCCAGCAAAGCCTCTGTTTGCAAACGGGTCCCAAGCCAGCTGCCAGCTTTTCAGCCAGGTCCAACTCCCCGACCCCTGCAACGCCCGCCCACCTCGCTTCCTAGGGGAGAGGAGCAGGCAGGGAAAAGGAGGAGGGGTAGTGACGGGAGGTGGTGGTGGGGCCTGGGAAGGGGGCGGCTACTTAGGGCTTTCAGGTAGTCCTCCAGATTCTTCTGTGAGACGAAGCGGTAGTAGCCGGTGAGATTGGGGGGCATTGTCCGGGCCGGCCCAGGTGGAGATCAAGGCTTCAGGAGATGACGGGGGAGGAGGAGCGGCCAAGGGCAGCAGGCAGTGGCAGTGTGTAAAGGTCCACTCACCAAGGCTTTTATAGGGCTGGGCCCTGTTGCAGTAAGAGTCTCTGCGGGACTTCCTCCCTCCCTCCCCCGGAGATGAGTTGGGGGCTGGCCTCTGCAGCCTGACTGAGGGGCAAAGCCGTGCCTGACCTTGGCTTTTCCTGAGGAAGGAACCGGGGAACGGGAGCAGGAGCCGGGCTGGTCAAGCCATCCAGTGCCGCAGCTTTTCTGAAGGTCAGTTTGGGCCTCCACTCCATTTTGGGCAGGCATGGGCCAGCGCCTAGAGCGGGGTTGGGAGGTGGTGGGAGGGTAGGGGGAGAAGGTCCCCTGCAGGGGCTGTGTGCGAGTGGAATAAGTTCTGGTCTCATCCTGAGACCCTGGGACAGAGGCAGGGCTCGTGAACCGTCAGAGAGGACCTGGGCTCCACCGTGGCCCCACAGTTCACAGAAACGGAGCCCCAACTGGAATTCCAGACTCCTGGTCCTGCAGGGCCAGTCGGATGGGGCTGTGGGCAGCCTGCCGAGCTCACAGACGGCAGCAGGAGGCCAGGGAAGGTTCTGGTCTTTATTTTGGAGACTGTTACATTGGTTGGCTTGGTCCTCAATGGTCCCCCTCTCCCCTGGAGTCCTCGGTGAGGTCATCACCCCAGCCCAACGACTGCCCACCCTTACCAGCTGCGTTGCCGAAATGCTGAGGGACACCTACATTATTGTGCACCTCCCCAGTCCCCCGCCCCTTGCTGCCCATTTCTCTCCCAAACCTGCAACCTCTACTGGGTTGGGTCTTTCGAAGCGTGACAGAGGGAAAGGGAGGTTGGGGGTGGGGCGGGGGCCAAGCCAGGGCCTGGCATTGCCGCTTGCACCGGACTGTGCCCCGCAGGGCCGTGGCGAGAGAGGCGCACCGACACCTCACTCTTACTCCGGAGCCCTGCCGACCACCCTGGGGTCCTCTCACAACCCACCTGGGCTGGTGACTGAAATGGTTCCCCTCCCCACCCCCCGACTCAGATGACAGGATTCATTTCGCAATTCCCGGAAGGCATGCAGCAGGGCCCTGCGGATGGAAGGGGCCCGTGGAAAGAGGTTCAGTCAGAGTTAGGGCCGGGTGACGCGGCTGCCGCCCCTCCTGGCCGCCCTCAGGTCTCCGCTGACGTCTCCATTTGGCTTCTCGCTTCTCCAATCTCCCCACGTCCCTCTTATTTCCCACCCTTGTATGACTTCCCAGCTGCCGCCCTAGCCCCCGCAGTCCTCTGCTCCCCCAAATTGCAGTCAGGGGAAGAAGCGCTAACCCGTTCTCCCGCCCCTGCTCCCGGGTCCCATTGGTCCCCTCCCCCGCTGCAGCACCTGAGCCCCCCGGCCTCCCGATTGGCCCGCGGCCCCGTCAATCCCGCCTGGCTGTGCTGACGTCATTCTGCAGTAGCGGGCAGGGGTGGGAGTGAGAGAGCGTGAGGACGCGGGGCTCGCGGGGGAACGCGAAGGGGCCGCGGCGAGTGCCCCACCTCGGCCGCCCGGCTTGGGGTCCCAGGGCCGGCTCTATGGCCTAGCGTGCGCGGCAGGCTCCTCTCTGCGGCTTCCCTGCTGCCCCCGGGGTTCCGTCCGCTCCTCCGAGAGCCCCCGCATCCTCCTCCAAGGTGGAATAAGCAGGCTTGCGGCTCCCAGGGGACCGCAAGCCTGGCCCTGCCCTGCCGAGCTCTGCACCATGGCCCTGCTGCTGCTGCCCCTCTTGCTGGCCTTTCTGCACCCTCCCAGCTCCGCTAACAAAGGTGAGTGAGGTGGGGGCGGCGGCGGGAAGGAGGGGCTGGGGGCTCTCTGGCCCCTGACAGGTGTCCCCTTCCCGTCCATTTCCACGGATTGCTTCCTTTGCCCCTCGCGCCACATCCCGCGTGCTTCTGCTGCTGGCCGTCCCGGTCGTCTTGGCCCCCATTCCGTCCTGGGTTTCACCCACAATCTCGGTGCTGGCAGCAGGCTTGGGTCCTGGGGGGCTTCCCCCGGGGCGGGGTGAGAGCCGTCTCGCGGGGATTTTCTGCTCTCACCGAGACGTGCGCACACCAGGCTGTGTGGCAGATCCATCTGCTTCGTCTCCATCCCATCCTGGGCAGTAACTGTCGGGTGCAGCTCAGCGATTCAGAGCACGTCTGGTTGTGCGCGTTCCTCTGCACCGCTTCCCCTGCGCCCGCATCCGCGGGTTTGCGGTGCGCACCGGAGCGGCCCTCTCTGGCCAACAGCAGCTCCGTTCAGCTGGGCGAGGCTGTCCCAGGGGCGGGCTGGGGGCTGGGGGGCGCTGGAAGGGGCAGAGGTGTGTGTGTGGGGGGAGGGGGGCGAGGCAGAGCTGAAAAGGAGAAGAGGGAGGGGAGGCGTGGGAGGAGGAGGACAAGAAGGGGATTGAGAAGGGTAAAGGTGGAGGCGGCAGAAAGGCGGGGGGAGTGAATGGAAGGTGAGGAGGAGAGAGGGAGAGGGAATGGACCCGGCGTGCCCAAGAGGAGAGGAGCAGTGACACAGGTTCAGAAACCCCGAGAGAGGAGCGAGGTCGGCGCGGGGAGCCCAGGAGATGGTGCCAGCCATTCCCTCCGCGCCCGTCGCCCTCTGGCCGGTGCTCTCCTCCTCAGTGCCCAGCCTCAGCCTTCTGCAGTTCCTGGGCACCATCCTGTGGCTTTCTCCTCAGCCGGTAGCACGGAGGTCATGGTGGCCGTGGATGAGAGCAGGGCAGACGCTGCGGTACCAGGGGGCTTGTGGGGTGTGGTTGCAGGGAGAGTGGAGATGGGGTTTCTTGCTCAGCATGAGTTAGTGGGATGGAGGTGCCCTTTGATGACTCGGTTTCCCCTGAAGCTATGACAACCCCCACACATTGTCTGGCTGATGTGCGGTGGGAACTTGCTTGGGGAGCCTGAGTGTTGGCGTGACGGGTCAGGCAGAGTGACGGACGTGGAGGTTAGGGATGGCTGGGGGTGTGGGAAGAGAGGGGAATGGGCTGAGCTTCACTGAGTGCCCTGGGTGTCCCTGTGGCCACTTGCCAGGCTTGTGGGAGAGGTCTTCCCCGGGGAGGAGTCAGGGGCCAGCTGGGTCTGCAGGGACCCCGGGGACCTGGAGTCTGAGTGAGTCACAGCCAGGCTGCATTGGCTGCTGGCCGAGCCCAGGAGGGGGCGGGGCAGACAAGAATTAAGTCCTGGGTGTGTATAGCAAGGAGTGTGAGCTTGGGGGCCTTGGAGAGGACATGGGAATGCACTGGTCTGAGTGTGTTCTCTTGGGCGTGGGGTGGGAAGTAGGGAGGGATTTGCTGTGTTTCTAGGCCAGCTCCGTAATCCCTTAGGATGCTGGCTCTGCTGGGTCCAGTCATTTGGCATCGATTCCTCTGCTCTCTCCTTGCCTGCCTCTGTCCCCCTCCCTCTGTCCTATATATCTTCTCTTCTCTGTCTTCTCCTCTTCCTCTACTCTGGGAGAATGGCCTGAGGTTGGGGCTTGGCTGGAGAAGTGCAGAGGGAAGAGATAGGGTTGAAGTGGAGTAGGGAAAGGGGTTAATCAGACTCCAGGAAACTTCTAGATCTTCTTTTGCTGGTTTCAATGCTACCCCTAATGAATCCCTTCCTTTCCCCAGGGCCCTTCTGAGGGCCCCAAGCCCCAGTCTCCCAAGAAGATTGTTCACCTCCTGACTGTGGCTTGGGGGGACATAGTGGTCTCCTTTCCCACAGGGCAGGCTGTTGCCATGGAAACTATCTGTCTGCCATCGGAGATGGCTGTGACCTCCCACGGACCTCAGACTCCTTCTGTAGCCGATTTCTTGTCCTCAGCCCTCCCAGGGCGTGGAAAGGGTGCTGGTGCTGGGCTGTGGGTTGTCTGGGTCAGGCAGGGCTGTAGTGGGAGTGGAGGGGCCCACTCACAGGTGATTCCTCTCCTCTCCTTGGGGCGGGGCCAGCCAACAAGCACAAGCCATGGATCGAGGCAGAATACCAGGGCATAGTCATGGAGAATGACAACACGGTGCTGCTGAACCCTCCACTCTTCGCCCTGGATAAAGACGCCCCCCTGCGCTATGCAGGTAATTGGGGTTGGGGCTGGCAAGGCAGGACAGGGCAGAGAAAAGCTGGTGGGAGAGTAGAGGGCAGAGGTGAGGGAGGAGTCCTGGGAGTGGAAGAAATGGGAAAGAGACCGTGGGAAAGTAGAAATGGGCTCAAGGAGGGGGAGCGGGCTACCTCCAAGAATGGAGGCTGAACAAATGATGCCAGGCAGGCAGGGGTTAAGCATGACTTGGGTCTGCCAGATCTCAAGCCTGGGGCCCTGAGAGGCTGCTGCTCCCGGGGAGCTGAGTTGGAGTGGTGTGTCTGATGACCACTGCTTCCATGCCTGCAAGCCAAGGGCTGGGGCTTTGGGAGGGAAGTGGAGGGGAGGCTGAAGGCAGGGAAGGGGATGTAGCAGGTGGTGCTGGAGCCTTGCTCCTTCCCTTCCGTCCTTGGCCAGGTGAGATCTGTGGTTTCCGGCTCCATGGGTCTGGGGTGCCCTTCGAAGCTGTGATCCTGGACAAGGCAACAGGAGAAGGACTGATCCGGGCCAAGGAGCCAGTGGACTGCGAGGCCCAGAAGGAGCACACCTTCACCATCCAGGCCTATGACTGTGGCGAGGGCCCCGACGGTGCCAACACCAAGAAGTCTCACAAGTGAGGGAGTCCTTGTCCCCCGCCCTGTGGGCCACAACGTAGGGCCCTCCTGCCTGCTCCCAAGCCCCTCACTATCCTCCGTCCATGCCTCACTGGATGGCCACTCCCCTGCCCCGCTGTTCCCAAGCGTCGGGGATCTTCAGTCGAGGAGACAGAAAAACATAGCAGAGATCAGGGGATCTAATCCTGGCTTTGCCTCCTAGGACTCTGGGCACTTACTTAGCCTTTCCGGACCTGCTTTTCCTTATCTATACCTCAGGGGAGGTGGTGATGACTTTGGCAGGCTGCTGTGAAGACGCAGAAAGCCTGCACACAGTGCCTGGCGTGGGGTGGAGGTCTCGGTGCGTGGGAGGTGGAGAACAAGGAGGAAGAGGGTGAACCCACCCAGATTCCTTTCAACTGCCCCCTCGAGTCCACTGGCAGTGTCCACCACACACACGATTCCTAACACATACCTAGGGCTCTTGGCGAGGGTGGGACAGGGGCTGGGTACAGCATGAGAGACGTGCACCTGTGGGACACCTGTCTCTGTTGCCAGCTAACTTCTCATCTGAGGATAAGAGAAAGATCAGCAGTCAGGATTCCTGGGCCACTCAGAGGCAGTAGAGAAAAAATGCTCTTTGTGACTCAGTTTCCCATTTGGAGCCGGTACTTTCGCGTCTGGGCCCTAGGAGCCTGGACCTTGCCTGGTGGAAGGGTTCAGCATATAGGATCTAGACCCCACTCTTCTTACCTAGTGGTGTATAAGTGGTGCGGGATCACACCTGACACACAAATTTCACAGCCAGGCAAGGAAGGCAGTGCACAGCTCACTGCTCAAATGTGACAGGTGACCTAGGACTTTTTTTTTTTTTAAGGTTTATCTATTTATTTGAAAGGCAGAGTTAAAGAGAGAGGGAGAGACAGAGACAGAAAGAGATCTTCTGTCTGCTGTTTCACTCTCCAAATGGTCACAATGGCCAGGGTTGAGCCAGGTTGAAGCCAGGAGCCTGGAACTCCATCCGGTTCTCCCACATGGGTGCAGAGGTCCAAGCACTCAGCCCATCCTCTGCTGCTTTCCAGGTGCAGTAGCAGGGAGCTGGATCAGAAGTGGAACAGCTGGGCTTTGGATTAGCACCCTTATGGGATGCCAGCATTGCAGACGGGGGCTTACCTCAGCACGCCACAACGTTGGTCCTGGCCTGTGACTTTTGTGCAAATGCTATTTCCCTTCTGAGTGTAGCTTTTACTCGTCATATTCCTTGATTAACCCATTGAATCTGACCATAGAGAAGGAAGGAGCTGCTGGGTTTTGTGCCTTACCCCTTGTCTTGGCTCCCTAACCTGTAGCATTCTGTACAGAAGCCATGGACATAAGCTCCTGGCGGCCCCTGCTGCTTGTTCCTCATCCCTTCCATCAGCCTGGGCCCCCTCCTTCGGGTTGCCCTGGGTCTGGCACGATGGTGGATCAGTCTGGTGCCTTGTGGGAAGAGCAGGAGCATGCTGCCGCCTGCCCCAGGCTCTGGGTTAGACTGGCTGCCTCCTGTTCACTCCCTGTCTGGATTCCTGCTTGTGCCGAGCTCTGGCTGATGCCTCCTCATCCCTCCTCCCACCCTGGTCCATGTGCAGGGCAACTGTGCACGTGCGGGTCAATGATGTGAACGAGTTTGCCCCAGTGTTTGTGGAGCGGCTGTACCGTGCTGCAGTGACCGAGGGGAAGCTGTATGACCGCATCCTGCGGGTAGAAGCCATCGACGGCGACTGCTCTCCGCAGTACAGCCAGATCTGTTACTACGAGATCCTGACCCCCAACACCCCTTTCCTCATTGACAATGATGGTGAGTTCGCCCTCTGCCTTCCGCCCCAGCTGCCTGGCCTCCGTGCACCCATGTCCCTCAGGATGACCAAGGCCTGTGCTCTCCGGTCTCCTGCCCCTCCTCCCGGCTTCCAGACACCCTCCAAGCTTCCTGCTGCCCAGTCCATCTGCTGCCCAATTAGCTGGGCAACCTCCGCTTGCCTGCCTGCGCTTTCTGCAATGCTCCTGACCCCATCTGACCTCCCCCACTCCTACCCCAGGGAACATTGAGAACACAGAGAAGCTGCAGTACAGCGGCGAGCGGCTCTATAAGTTTACAGTGACGGCTTACGACTGCGGGAAGAAGCGGGCGGCGGATGACGCCGAGGTGGAGATCCAGGTGAAGCCCACCTGTAAACCCAGTTGGCAAGGTAGGTAGCTCGGCTCTGTGACTCACCCTGCTCTCTCTCTCTCTGTCCCTCCTGACAGTCGTGGGGGCCAGCTTTGGGGTTGGCAGCATCTTTGAGGGGTGGGCTTCTGCCCTGGGTAGGTCATTTTCCTAGGAGTCCCAGGGGGTCAGTGGACATGGCAAGAAGGAGTATGGCTGGGAGGGGCTGTCTTCCCCTTCTCTCTCTCCATGGCTCCCCCCATCTCACCCCCACAGGCTGGAACAAAAGGATTGAATACGCACCCGGCGCTGGGAGCTTGGCTTTGTTCCCTGGCATCCGCCTGGAGACCTGCGATGAGCCGCTCTGGAGCATTCAGGCCACCATAGAGCTGCAGACCAGCCACGTGGCCAAGGGCTGCGACCGAGACAACTACTCCGAACGGGCACTGCGGAAGCTCTGCGGTGGGTGTGCCCCTACCCCCAGCACTCCCTCAGCCTGGCCCTTCCCTCCTGGCCTCTGCCTCAGTCTCCTCTGGCCCATCCCAAGTATCTGCCTTCTGTCTCCTCTGGCCACCCACAGGTGCATATATCCACAGGGGCTGGGGCAGTGATCAACTCTTATGGCATAAAGGGAGGGCAAATACGTCTTTGGCAAAGATGCATGATTGTAGCAACAGTTACCAGATACTGTAGGGAGAGGGAAAATGTTGGAGAATGTGTTGAGTTAGCTGGAGAGATACTCCTGGAAGAGAGGTCCATGCCTCTTTTTTTTTTTTTTAATTATTTAAGATATACAAATTTCATGTCTCTCATATATACAGACTTAGGAACATAGTGATTCTTCCCCCACTAAGCTCCCTCCCCCACGCTCACGCTCCCTCCCTTCTTCCTCCTCTCTCTCCTATTCCCACTCTTAATTTTTACAGAGATCTATTTTCAGTTTACTTTATACTCATAAGATTAACCCTAAGGTAGGTAAAGAGTTCAACAAATAGTAAAAAGAAAAAACAAAACTGTTCCTCAACAGAAGGGACAAGGGCTGTAAACAGTTATGAAATCTCAAAATGTCAGTTTCACTCCAATACATTCATTTTAGGTACTCTATTATAGTTACCGCAGATCAAGGAACACATAATGCAGCTCACAATAGCTAAGATATGGAATCAACCCAGATGTCCATCAACTGATGACTGGATGAAGAAATTATGGTATATATACACTATGGAATACTACTCAGTGATTAAAAAAATTAAAAGAAAATAAAATCCTGTGTTTTGCAACAAAATAGATGCAACTGGAAACCATTATACTTAGTGAAATAAGCCTGTTCCCAAAAGACAGATACCATATGTATTTTTTTAATGAAAATTTCATTTATTTATCTAATGTATTTGAAAGGCAGAGAGAGAGATTTTCTGTCTGCCGGTTCATTCCCCAAATGCCTGCAACAGCCAGGACTGGGCCAGGCTGAAGCCAGGAGCCAGGAGCTTACTCTGTGCCTCCCATGTGGGTGGAAGGGACCCAAGTACTTGAGCCATCATTTTCTTTCTTGCTTCCTGGGTTAGCAGGAAGTTGGAATCAGGAGCAGAGCCAGAACTTGAACCCAGTCACTCCAATGTGGGATGTGGGATGTGGGTGTCTAAGCGGCACCTTATCTGTTCTGCTACCCCAAACGCACCCCCACCCCGTTCTCTTGTCTCTGAGAGGCCACAGGAAGCTCTTTGTTTTCCCATCAGTCACTCTTCTGCATCCCTCCACCTGCTGCCTCTCGGCTCTGACACCTGTGCTTCCTTGGGCTCCTGCAGGTGCTGCCACTGGGGAGGTGGATCTGTTGCCCATGCCCGGCCCCAATGCCAACTGGACAGCAGGGCTCTCAGTACACTACAGTCAGGACAGCAGCCTCATCTACTGGTTCAATGGCACCCAAGCCGTGCAGGTGCCCCTGGGCGGCACAGCCGGGCTGGGCTCTGGGCCCCAGGACAGCCTCAGTGACCACTTTACCCTGTCTTTCTGGATGAAGCATGGTGTAACCCCCAACAAGGGCAAGAAGGAGGAGGAGACCATCGTGTGTAACACTGTCCAGAATGGTGAGTCTCCCTCAGGGCGCCAGGCTCGTGTGGGACACTGGCTTCTTGTCTCGCACCTGTCACAGTCCAGGGTTGGATTCTGGACAGCTCACTTCCCTCTCTTCATTTCTGAGATGTCAGTGCTAAAGTTGAGAGTCCCTGAAATTCCGTGACTTACCCCCAAGATGACATGCTGAGATCCTACAGCTCTCGGAGTGCAAGGGGCCTCCTCGCTGCCATGTGCAGTTGGCTAAGCAGTCCCCCTGCATGTCATGTAGGGCACTGCCCCCATCTCTGCTGCGCTGCATTGCAATGGGACAACCTGGGAAACCATGCGCCCTGTTCCTTCTCTCCCACTCCCATCGCTTCCTCCTCCCTGAGGGATAATCAGCTCCATTTCCAAGGACCCCCTCCCCCCTCCTTCAACAGCAGTGGCACACCCCTCCAGGGAGGGCTCAGCTTTGACCTACTCTTTTATTTCTAGCTACTTCTACGACCCCATTTCTCTCAACCTGAAAAGGGTTGTCACCCGTGAGGTGTGTACCAACCAAAGCGCTGATAAAGAGCTGGGTAGGGGCAGGCTGGTCAGCATTCCCCATCCCCCAGGGGCTGGAATGTGTGTGTGTGTGAGAGAGAGAGAGTGGGAGAGGACGGAGAGAATCCAATGTCTCTCCCTCCTGTGGCTTTGAACTTGCTCTTGCCTCAGGACCTGTGGTGAGCCTTGCCCTCGTTCTCTCCCCTCAGAGGATGGCTTCTCTCACTACTCACTGACTGTCCATGGCTGCCGAATTGCCTTCCTCTACTGGCCCCTGCTGGAGAGTGCGCGCCCAGTCAAATTCCTCTGGAAGCTGGAGCAGGTGAGGCTGGTGGCCAGCTCCTGGGAGGGCTGGGGATGTCTCCACCTTTTAGGAAAGGAGGATCCCAGGACTGGGGCTGGCACCATCTGCACTGCCCTGTGCCCCCTCTTTCATTCTCTGCTTTCAGTCCGGGGCCATTCTATGCCCTGGTTTTCTTGTTCTTTTCTTCCAAGGTTGTCAACTACAGAAAGTACTTCTGGGTTAACAGGGAATAGGGTACAAATTACTACTAACACCAAATCCAACTAGTTATCTTTTACTTCCTTGTTATCCTCTCTCTCTCTCTCTCTCTCCAAGACTGATTTATTTGGGGCTGGCATTGTGGTATGGCAGGTAAAGCTGCTACCTCTAATGCCAGTATCCCATATGGATGCCATTTGTGTCCCAGCTGCTCCACTTCTGATCCAACTTCCTGCTAATGGCCTGGGAAAAGCAGCAGATGTCCCAGGTGTTTGGGCCCCTGCCACCCACATGGGAGACCCAGATGAAACTCATGGCTCCTGGCTTGACCTGACCCAGCTCTGGCCATTGCAGATAATTGAGTGAACCAGTGGATGGAAGATCTCTCTTTCTGTCTCTCCCTCAGTCTCTGTCATCCTGACTTTCCAATAAAGACAGAGAGAAATCTTCCATCTGTTGGTTCATACTCCCAAATGCCCACAACGGCTGGGGAGGAGCCAGGAACTCCCATCAGGTCTCCCATGCGGGTGACAGAGATCAAAGTACTTGAGGCATCATTTGCTGCCTTCCCAATGTGTGAGCAGGATGTTGGATCCGAAGTGGAGTATCCAGAACTGGGTATGGGATATGGAAATCCTAAGTGTGGAAGTCCTAAGCACAGTGACTTAACCTGTTGTGCCAAGGTACCTGTCCTCTTTTCCCTCTATTTAAAAAAATTTAACCCGGGGGAGAGCATTTGGTGCAGTAGTCAAGTTGTTGCTTGGGACACTTGCATCCCATAGCGGTGTTCCTGGGTTCCAGTCCTGGCTTCAATTTTGATTCCAGCTTCCTGCTAATGTACATACTGGGAGGCAGCAAGTGATGGCTCAAGTACTTGGGTCCCTGAACCCGTGTAGGAGACTTGATTGAGATCTAAGCTCCTAAGTTTGACCTGGCCCAGCCCTGGCTGTTGGGAGAATTTGAGGAGTGAACCAGCAGGTGGTAGCTTTCTGTGGAGACTGGGCTAGGTTGAATCTGAGATGTACGTGGGAAGCCTGAGGAGCACTTCGGGGAGTGGGGCAGAAGTCACCCTGCACCATGTGCTAGTCTGAGAGTGTCCCTTGGCCAGATACTGCAGCCCCCTTTTCTCCTGCAGCTGCAGGCTATATCTGTCCTTGAAGGCAAATATTTTGGCCATCTTTTTAATACGGATTGTTCCTTCAGATTATACGAGACACAAATATCATCTCCTTTGATAGAAAACATATTTCTTTGTACTAGCCCCCTGGGTGAAGAAGCCTGCTGTGATTGTGTGAGCATAAAACCCCTTGTAAAACTGATAAAACTTGACCATTGCTCGGACAGTAGTCCCTGCCCATCCTTCAACCCGCGGTTCCAAACCTCGCTGGAAAACAGCACAGCTTTCTCTTTGTCTTTCCGCCTTTAAAATAAAATGGAAATAAAATAAAATAAGCTACTCTAGAGGTTCCAGTACCATGTATATGTTTATAGATGATTTTAAAATTATTTTAATTTATTTTTAAGATTTATTTATTTGAAAGGCAGAATTATAGAGAGGGAGAAGCAGAGAGGAGAAAGAGAGAGAGAGAGAGAGAGAGAGAGAGAGAGAGAGAGAGGTCTTCCATGTGCTGGTTCACTCCCCAGATGGCCACAACAGTCAGAACTGCGCCAGGCAGGAGCCAGGAGTCAGGAGCTTCATCTGGGACTCTCAGATGGGTGCAGGGGCCCAAATACTTAGGCCATCTTCTGCTCCTTTCTCAGGCCAATTAGTAGGGAGCTGAATTGGAAGTGGAGCAGCTGGGATTAGAACCAATGCCCATAGAGGATGCCAGTGCTTAACCCACTGCACCACAGTGCCAGCCCCTTTATTTATTTATTTTTAAAGATTTGTTTTATTTATTTGAAAGAGTTAGAGAGAGGGAAAGACAGAGAGACATTTTCCAACTGCTGGTTCATTCTCCAAGTAGCTACAATGGCCAGGGCTGACCAGGCTGAAGCTAGGAGCCAGGAGCTTCACTCAGGTCTCTGACATGGGTGGCAGGGGCCCAGGCATTTGAACCATCTTCTGCTGCTTTTCCCAGGCCATTAGCATGGAACCAGGTCAAGAGTGGAGCAGCTAGGACATGAACTGGCACCCCTATGGGATGCTGGCATGGCAGACAGTGGCTTTACCTGCTATGCCACAACTCCGGTCCCCATAATTTTTTTCTAAAAGATTTATTTGAAAGGCAAAGCATTGGGTGGGGAAGAGAAATATTCCATCTATTAGTTCACTTCCCGAATGACTGCACAGCCAGGCCTGTGCCAGGCTGAAATCAGGAGCCAGGAACTCCATCCAAGTCTCTCAAATGAGTGGCAGGAGTCCAAGCTCTTAGGCCATCATTTTCTTGCTTTCCCTGGCACATTAGCAGGGAGCTGGAGTGGAAGCAGAACAGCCGGAACTCAAACTGGTGCTTTGATAGGAGATGCTGGTGTCCCAAGCCGCTGCTTAACCCACTGTGCCACATGCTGGCCCCTACATCAGTTTTAGTCCTCTTAAGAGCATTTATGGTGTAGAGATTTACATGAATGATGGACTGGGTACTAGGCTGGTGCCTGACAGATTTTGGACACGGGTGTCACTCTTTGAGCTGAGTGGACAGCAGTTCACAGGGGAGTTCTGCTCCAGAGCTGGGTATGTGAGGGGCCGGGGAAGAAGTGGCTGCTTGCCTTGCCCGCAGGTCTGTGATGACGAGTGGCACCACTATGCGCTGAACCTTGAGTTTCCCACGGTCACACTCTACACTGATGGCATCTCCTTTGACCCCGCCCTCATCCATGACAACGGCCTCATCCACCCGCCCCGGCGGGAACCTGCTCTCATGATCGGGGCCTGCTGGACCGGTGAGCCCCTCTCAGGTTCTTACGACCCGGCCACTAGGATGGGCCAAGGGAGGTGGGCAGCTGTCGGCGGCTGGGTGGTGGGGTGACTCTGATAGACCCCCCCCCCATAGGCCACTCTGCCTGGGCAGTTTCCTTCTCAGATGTCCCCCAGAAGCTCTTAATGTAACTTCAGCCAGGTCCCCTGTGGCTCCATTGAAGTGGCAGTGACCACCACAGCCCAGTCCCCTGTTGGACAGGGACCCTTCCTCACATCACCAAGCTTCCGAGGCTTAAGCCATTTCTTTCATTTTTTTCTTCAAGAGTGTGGATCCCCGCTACCTAGCTAGGGCTTGGTCTGTGGCAGAGGTGGAGGGAAGGGTTGGGACTCAGCCTGGAGGTGGCATCTCCCACGTGGGCAAGGGCCGACTCCCCGCACCACGGGAAGACTTCTCGTTCCTCTCCATCTCTGTGTCCCCGCAGCTCTGACCTCACTGCCATTTTTGCTTTTGGTCTGCAGAGGAGAAGTACAAAGAGAAGGAAAAGGGAGGCGACAACAGCACGGAGAGCACCCAAGGTACCCCGCGCGCCGGCGTCGGAGGCCGCGGAGTTCCGCAGTTGACTCGACCCCGCGCTCCCTTGCACACCCTGATGCCGCGCCGGCGGCCTCCAGGGGCCAGCGGCGTGCCCGGGCGGTGGAGGGGCTGGTTCGCTGGCTCTCCGCACGCAGGGGCGGCGGTGGTCGGGGCAGGCCTGCAGGACGGAAGCTGGGGCGCCGGTGCAGCGGGCACACATCCATCCCGGCCTCCTGCACGGCACCGCGGACAGCGCCCTCTCCTGGTTTCACCTCCTTCCTTCCTCCCTCTCTCGCTCTCCTCCCAGCTGCTTCCGTGTTTCACTCTCTTCTCCCCCTAGCATCATTCCGGGTCTGGGGGCTCCCCTCTTTCCCCTCTCCCACCCTGCCCTTGCTTCTCTCGCTCTCTCCCCTCCCTCCTTCTCCCTTTTTGTTTCTGTGTTTCTCCTGTTCCCTGCAGTCTCCTGCTTTCTCCTGTCCTCTCACCGCCCACCCGGCCCCTGTGTTCCGCCCTAGGAGACCCCTTGCCGATCCACCACTACTTCCATGGCTACCTGGCTGGGTTCAGCGTGCGCTCAGGGCGCCTGGAGAGCCGCGAGGTCATCGAGTGCCTCTATGCATGTCGGGAGGGGCTGGACTATAGGGATTTCGAGAGCCTGGGCAAAGGCATGAAGGTATAGCCTCTTCCTCCGGCCCTCTCCTTCCCCGCATGCCCCATGTCCCCCCCCCCCCCCCCCCCCCCCGCTCTTGGCCTCTCCTGCCTGCTCTTAGCTGTGTCTGTGTCTGGGGCCCAGGTCCACGTGAACCCCTCGCAGTCCCTGCTCACCCTGGAGGGGGATGATGTGGAGACCTTCAACCACGCCCTGCAGCATGTGGCTTACATGAACACTCTGCGCTTTGCCACGCCCGGCGTCAGGCCCCTGCGCCTCACCACCGCCGTCAAGTGAGTGCCGGGTGGGCGGGCAGATCACAGAGAGCCCACCAAGGGACTGCCTAGGGCTGAGAGCACGACCTCCCCTTCTGTGCCCCTCTCTGGGCCCCTCTTGCTGTAGGTCCCTTAGTAATGATAGTAGAAGAGCCTGGACTAGACGCAGATTTCCCTACAACCAATCCTTACTCTCCCCACTAAGCTGCACTTCCGGGACTTTGGGGATTTGGGGGTTTGAGCCTCCCCAAGCCCCTGTGCTGGTAGGCACAGTGGGACAGAGAGGACTGGGAGCCAGAGGACATGACAGTCATTTTTTTTTTTTTAAAGATTTATTTGTTTATTTGAGAGGCAGAGTTATAGAGAGAGAGGGAGGGAGAGACAGAGAGAAAGGTCTTCCATCCCCTGATTCACCCCCTAAATGGCCACAACGGCTGGAGCTGGGCAGATCCGAAGCCAGGAGCCAGGAGCTTCTTCCGGGTCTGCAATGCAGGTGCAGGGGCCCAAGCACCTGGGCCATCTTCCACTGCTTTTCCAGGCCATAACAGAGCTGGATTGGAAGAGGAGCAGCCAGGATATGAACCGGCATCCATATGGGATATGGCACCACAGGCTGAGGCTTAGCGCACTATGCCACAGCACTGGCTCCAGATTTTGGATTCTTTAAAAAGAAAACTTGTAGATTATTTCAAGGTTTAAGTACATATTAGGTATTTAAAATATAATTTGGTGTAATGAAAGCATAATAGTTAAGGATCAGGGTGTATCGGGCAAATGCCATGAAGCAGAAGGAATAGCAGAATCTCATGGAATTATAGTGAGAACGGATGACATAATCCGGATCAAATGCCTACCAGCGTGCCTATTCTGGAATGCTGACTCCCGTACGAGGGCACTATCACCCCCGATTATGGGCGGGTTTTAGGAGCTACTGCCAGCTGATGGGTGGTCACGTGATTTAGGAGTCAGGATTCCCATGCTCTCCCCTCTTCTGCCTCAGTTTCTCCCTAAGTAATATGAAGATACGTGTCTCTGACTTGCCCCTGTCCTGGGAGGGAGAGAGCTCTGAGTCTTAGATGGGGACTGAGCATAAATTCAGGCCTCACGATTAGAGCTGTGGCAAGCAGGGCCAGTGGCTCTAATGGGGGAATGGGGCTGCAGTGCGGAGCTGCAGGTCACAGGCAGATGAGGTCAGGTAGGTGCAGACGAGAGCTGTGTACCCCATGTACTCTGCTTGTTATCGGCTGCCACCTGTCATGAAGGACTCAGTCTCCCAGAGACCAAGGAGTTGAATTGCCTCACCCCTTCCTGGCGTTTTTGTTTTTTTGTTTTTTTTTTTTTTTTTTTTTTGCACAGGATGGAGCACTTCAAGGGAAGTTCCCAAAGAGGGAGAAGTGCTATGTTGTTTATTGACCGGCTCATCTGAATTCTCTCTTTCATGCCTAAGCTGGAGGCTTATCCAAGGCCTTGGAACCTGACGTTGGTCCTTTAGTGGAGGGAAGGGGCCTTGATGGTTTCTTTATGAGGTTAAGAAAGAGCTCTGATTTTTCCGTTTCTGGGGTTACTGTGTGCTTGGTGCTACCCCATTACTTCCCCGAAGTAATAGGAGAGATATGGAGGGGTGTGTGTGCATGCATGCATGTGCACATGTGTGTGTGCGTGTACACAACACAGAGAGACAGATACCTCGCAGCACCTCCTTTCTCGGATGCATGTCCTCGCCTTGTCCGTGGGGCTTCCCTGCCTTCCAAGTTTCAGTTCTTGGACATCTGTCCATTGAAAGCCAGATCTATGCAAGTCTTCGTTCAGTGTATAAAATTCGGGTTTGCACCTTGGTATTTTTCAGTCTTTCTTGGAAAGCCCATCTACTCGTGGTGTTAACCCCTGAATGGGTGAATGCCACATCTTTTGCTCCAGCTTTGTTGTCTTTCCATGGCTCTTGAATTTACTCCTGCTTCCAGTAGCTACACGTTCTGCCAGCACCTCAACCCAAAGTGCTAACGCTGAAACAGTTGGTGTGAAAGAACCATACCAGCCCTCCCTCTGAACCCTTTGTCTATAATGCATCTCTGTCTCTGGAGTCACCCGGGCTTGAAACCTCTGAGTCACCTTTGATCCCTCCCTGTCTGTACTGCTTGCCCCATTGGTTGCCCCATTGCCCAGACCCCACCCCTGTCTGGGGTCTGGCATCTGTCTTCTCTTTCTCCATTTCTTTAGCCCCCGAGCCCAAGCTCTGATCAGCTCGCCCCCAGTCTATGTTGGCTTAGCCTCCTAGCTAGCTGACCCAGTTCTGGGCTTCTAACTTTGATTGACCCCACACCTGAGGCCAGGTGAGTACTCTTGCATCAGAGTTCTCACCACACTTCCCTGATGAGAGAGATGGCAATGGCTTGCTTTTGCCCGTGGCGTAACTACAGACAGCCCTCCTGCTCTGGCGCTGTCTGCCTTTCCCACTCGCTGTAGAGTCAGCCTCCGCCAAGGTGAAGTCCTACCCCTACAGAGCTAGCTCGATTGCCCTTTTCCTGATGATTCTGATTATCTTACTTGCTCCTATCCCAGCCAGAAGTAACCTCTCCCTCTCTGAACTCTTTGTTGGCTTCACTTCTGTTGTGATGACCATTCTCGTCCTTGTTTTAGGGTTTGGGTGCCGTATCTGACCTTCCTATCAGCTCCTTAATGCTTTCGGGTCAGGGACAGCCTCCGGTTCCCCTGTGGGTTGCCCAGAGCAGTGGCACAGCATAGCATCACTCAGTGCCGTGGGTCATCTGGAGCCCGTGCTCCTGGGTCAGCTGGGGTTGTTTCTCAAGAGGCTTTGACGTAGCTGTGTCTGGATGGCAGTACAGATTGTCACAGGCTCCACTCTGTGTGCCACGGGACCTTAGCAAGTCATGGATATTGGTCACTCGAGGGGCTCTGCGCTTTCACACCTGCTGAGGTTATGCCTTCTCCTTTTGGCCCCAGCAGTCCAACTGGACATGCTCGGTAACACCAATGGGGTTCTAGCAAGATCATTTCACAGTTAGCACAAGCGTATGGAACAGAGTCCCTGCCCCAGAATTACTAACCCCTGGGAACACTGCTTGTTCAGGGGGTATCTTGGTCTGTTTTGTGCTGTTAAAACAGAATACTGGAGACTTTATAGAGATTATATGGCTACTTTATAGAGATTTCATTTTATAATTCTGGGGGCTGGGATCCAGAGGGTGGTCTCTGGCAATGGCCCCTTTTACTGTACTTCCCATGGCAGAAGGGCAGGGCAGGGGTGGGGTGGGGGTGTGGAAGAGCAAGGGTTTTGCTCTTCATTCACTCCATCCCAGTGATTCCAAAGTGTAACTCAGTCCAGCACCCCTGGGAATTCTCAATTCCAGAGTCTCACTTAAGTCAGGTATGAATGAGACTTGCAGAACACTTCGTCTTGAATCAAATGTGCCTCCAGGAGTGAGCCTATGAAACTAAACACATTATTTCCAAGATACAGTGGTAGGACATGCATGGGTAGGCATTCCCATTCCAAAGGAGAGCTAGAAGAATGGAAGAAGGGGCCACTGGTCCCAAGTAAGCCCCAAAGCCAATGGGACAAACACCATTACATTGAAAGACTCCAGATGATCTTTGCTTTCCTCCACTGGGGCAGCCCCGCCCCCAGGGTTTTGCTGGCCTCTCACAGGTTGGAATCTCACACCTGCAGTCCCACCCCAGCCTGGTGCTGCTCGCTGCTGGCACCGCAGTTCTGGGTCCCTCGCTCCTACAGCTCCACTAGGCATTGGCCTTTTGGGAACTCCCTGTGGTGGAAGACTCTGAACCCACGATTCCACTCAGCATTGCCCTAGTGGGAAGGCTCTAGGTGGTGACTCTGGCCCAGGCTGTCTTTGAAATCCTTTGAAATACAGGTGCAGGAGCCAAGCTCCCCCAGCTCTTGCATGTGCACCTGTAGAATCAGCACCAAGGCTTACCGCTTGTGCCCTTTGGAGCCATGACCCAAGTCACACCTGGGCTCATTTGAGTCCTGGCCAACTGGTGCTGCCTGGAGTGTGCACAGCAGACACCCGAGGCAGGCCAGCGGGGAATGCTGGCTTTTCCGGGTGTCCTGGGCTGCTCTCTTGGGGCTCCTCAAAGCTCTCTGGGGCTCTGCAAGCATTCTCCATTGTCTCTGATAGCACTGCCTTCCTTCCACCAGTCCCTCCACCAGAGGGTGCTTGGCCACACTTCTGTGAGCTTTTTCATTCTTTTCCTGGGCGGGGCTGAGACTCCTGTGAATCCCTAAGCTGTGTTTCCCTGTTAATTATAGATTTCATCTTTAAGTCAATTTTTCTTTTACTCTGCTGTATATGATTCACAGCCTCTTCATTCCCTCAACAGTTTGCTTAGGAATTTCTTCTGCCAGATATTCTAGTTCATTGCTCTTAACTTCTTCCTGCCACAAAGCCTTTTTGCATGGGTGTGATTCAGCCACGTTCTTTGCCAGTTTATAACAAGGTTGGCCATTCCACCAGTTTCCAATAAGGTGCTGCTCGTTTCTGTCTTTGACCTCATCTGAATGGCATTTACCACCTACGTTTTTTTCTTTCTTTTAAAAAATATTTATTTAACTTATATTCTATATAAAGTAAATAATTTATGTAAATTATATATAAATTTATATTTTATTTATATAAATTATAGTTATACATGCATTTATATAAATTATGGAGTTATAAGTCATACAGAGTTATGGGGTAGGGGGAGAGAAACAAAGTAGGGGGGTAGAAAGAGAGATCTTCCATTTGCTGGTTCAGTCCCCAGATAGCTGCAATGGTGGATCAGCGTTGGGCCAGGCTGGAGCCAGGAGCCAGGAACTTCATCTGGGTCTCCCATGTGGGTGGCAAGGGCTGAAGGAGTTGGGCCATTGTCTGCTGCTTTCCCAGGTGCATTAGCAGGGAGCTGGAGCAGCTGGGCTTGAACCCGTGCTCCTATGGGATGCTGGCTTTGCAGGCAGCAGCTTAATCCACTGCACCACAGCGCCTGTCCCGAAGATCTGTGTTTCTACGCATAGTCGGCTCCTGAGCGCTGAGCAGTTTCTGAGAAGTTCTGTACTTTCCCGCGGCCCCCTCCTCTGCTGAAGCCTCCCCAGAATGGCCCTCGATGCCCTGTTCAGGGCCTGCGCCTCAACCCTGCTCCAGCCTCTACCCCTTCCAGTTGCAAAGCTGCTTCCGTGTGTGTAGGTTTCTCTTAAGGTGGTGTCCCCACTGCTGTGGTTCCAGTGTTCTGCCCTGTTTGTTTTGTGTTGCTGCAACAGAGCACCTGAGACTGGATTCATTTATCAAGGGCAGAGACTTAGTGCTTAGAGTTCTGCAGGGTGGGAAGTCCCAGATTGAGGGCCAGCATGTGGCAAGTGCCCTTGCTGCTGCATCCCCCCATGGCAGACAGGCAGAGAGGGAAAGCCACAGTCCCTTTGTAATCAGCGTTCCTGAAGGGGGAGCCCTCGCGACCTAAACACCTCCCATTAGGCCCTGTTGCCTTGGAGATTCAATTTGCAGCACTTGCTTTTTGGGAGACACATTCAAACCATAGCAGGGGGGTGCCTTCCACATAAGTAGATTTTTCTGATGTAAACTGGGCTTCAAACGGTGGCTATGGTTTAGAGACAAGCTCAGTGGACTTGCAGTAAGGGCGGGCTGAAGCCTAGACCCTGGTGTGTCGTCCTTTTGTGGCCCAAATGCTTGATCTGGTCTCTTTTTCCTCCTCTGGGACTTGGACATATGGTTATAATGAGATGACCTGGGCAGAATACTTTGTACCAGCAAGTGCCATGTGACCGAGAGGTGTTGGTATTGGCAAAGGATAGGACTAGAAGTGACCCTGGGAGCGCAGCTCCTGAGCACGTGTGCTGGTGGTTGGCTTGGCTTGGCTGTGTTCTCTGGGAAGGGTTTGTCCTGGCACCAGCTCAGTCAGGTCCCCCGGGACAGTGGATCTAGGTCCAAGGTGGTCTGATTATCTCAACTACCCGAGCGTGTTTCTCTGATACACAAGGGAATAGAAGACACACCAAGGACGAGGAAGCACGTCTTTCAAGAGTTCTCCCATCCCACCTACTTTTATTGTTGCATATTTGGGAGGCTATGTCTGCCAGATATTATACTGAACTCATTTTTATTTATTTGAAATTCAGAGTGACATAGAGAGAGAAGGAGAATCAGAGAGAGAGAGAGAGAGAGAGAGAGAGAGATCGATCTTGCATCTGCTGGTTTACTCCCCAATTGGCCACAACAGCTGGAGCTGAGCTGATCCAAAGCCAGGATCCAGGAACTTCTTCCAGGTCTCCCATGTGGGTGCAGGGCCCAAGGATTTGGGCCATCTTTTACTGCCCTCCCAGGCCACAGCAGAGAGCTGGATTGGAAGTGGAGCAGCCGGGACTCAAATGGGAGCCCATATGGGATGCCGGCACTGCAGGCGGCAGCTTTACCTGCTACACCACAGCCCCGGCCCCCTGAACTCATTTTTTAAAACCCGAGTGTATATATTTGTTTCTGCCGGTTCAGGGCTTAATTTCTCATGCAAATAGAATTTGATACATGTTGTGTAGTCCTGGGGTGAGCCTTGATGCTGGGTCCACCCCTGCAGATTGGGGTTGCCTGGCCTTCTCTTTCTGACCTTGTCCTGCAGTGGCATTACCACGGGGAAGGGGGGGCACAGATACTACCACCTTTCCTTCGCTCACCCTCCCTCACAGGGAGTGGTGTGTCGTGGAGGGAGGCCTGCAGGGATGAAGGCAGAAGGCGGGTTTAAGGGAGGGTGTTACCAGCTGCCTCTGTCTGCCTTCCTTCCTAGGTGCTTCAGTGAAGAATCTTGCGTGTCCATCCCCGAGGTGGAGGGCTACGTGGTGGTCCTGCAGCCCGACGCCCCCCAGATCCTGCTGAGTGGCACCACTCACTTCGCTCGCCCAGCTGCGGACTTCGAGGGACCCGAGGGGGTCCCTTTGTTCCCCGATCTTCAAATCACTTGCTCCATTTCTCACCAGGTGGAGGCCAAAAAGGATGAAAGTTGGCAGGGCACAGGTGAGGATGAGTGAGGACGACTCCAGGGCGTGACGTCATCCGAAGAAGGGGCCAAGGTCTGGAACCAGAACGAGGGAGAACAGCTGGGGCTGGAGGTGGAGACTGGCCTCACTCTGTGTGTGCAGGGCGGGAGAGCCAGTGGGAGGTCTGTGCATGAAAGGAACCAGTCACGCAATGATGTGCTTGCTAATGCTGCCAACGTCCCTTAAGGAATGACCCTAGGAGGGGAGGAAAAGTGGCCAGGAGGTGGCGGCCGGGTCTCGGTGGGCCCAGCTCTGACCCAGACCCTGTCTCTCTCCCGACCCCAGTGACAGACACGCGGATGTCGGACGAGATCGTGCACAACCTGGACGGCTGTGAAGTGTCCCTGGTGGGGGATGACCTGGACCCCGAGCGCGAAAGCCTGCTCTTGGACGTGGCATCCTTGCAGCAGCGAGGGCTGGAGCTCACCAACACGTCTGCCTACCTCACCATCGCTGGTCCGTGGCGCCCCAGAGCCTGTCTTCCTTTCTCGCGTGTGCCCCTCCCCCGATTAAGCTCCGCGAACTCAGAACTTGCAGGCCCAGAGGTGTGGCCAAGCACATCTCGCTTCCCGGCTTGCAGATTGCCTGCTGGGGTGTAGGCAGGGCCTGGCTCTCCTCCGCTGCTGGCTGCCTTCCATTTCCCTTCTCATCCCTCTCATCCCTTGGCTCAGTGTCCTATCACTGCGCATCGTCTCCCTCTTGCATCTCACTCATCTCAGGCAGACAACACAGCGTTAAGGGACCTGCTCATGTCTCTCTCCTTTTAAATCTTTCTTTATTTATTTGGAAGGCAGAGAGAGAGAGAGAGACAGAGGGAGAGAGCTCCCACCTGCTGGTTTACTCCCGAAATGGTCCCAACAGCCAGGGCAGGGCCAGGCTGAAGCCAGGAGCCAGGAGCTTCTTCACGGTCTCCCATGAGGGTGGCTGGCTGGAGCCCAAGCTCCTGGGCCATCCTCCACCGCTTTTCCCAGGCCAGTATCAGAGAGCTGGATCAAGAGGGGAGTAGTTGGGACACAAGCCAGAGCCAGCACCCGTATGGGATGCCGGCGACGCAGGCAGCTGCTTTACCCACTACCCCACAACGTGCCTGTGATACTTACAATGCTTATTGCAGGTTTTTTGATCCTCCCTTTTGGGAATACAAGTTATTTAAAAATATTGTTGGGGGCCGGCACCGCGGCTCACTTGGCTAATCATCCACCTGTGGCGCCGGTAACCCCGGGTTCTAGTCCCGGTTGGGGCGCCGGGTTCTGTTCCCATTGCTCCTCTTCCAGTCCAGCTCTCTGCTGTGGTCCGGAAAGGCAGTGGAGGATGACCCAAGTGTTTGGGCCCTGTACCTGCATGGGAGACCAGGAGGAAGCACCTGGCTCCTGGCTTCGGATTGGCACAGTGTGCAGGCCATAGCGGCCATTTGGGGGGTGAACTAACGGAAGGAAGACCTTTCTCTCTGTCTCTCTCTCACTGTCTAACTCTGCCTGTCAAAAAAAATATATTGTTAGGGATTCAACTTGGAAAGAAAAAATTCATACCCCTCCTCTCTTAAGGAATATTTATTAACCTTGATTGATTGGTTTATTTTATATTATTCAAAAGATAGAGACACAGGGGAAGAAAGAGAGAGAGAGAGAGAGAAGCAGAGATCTTCCATCCTCTGGCCCACACAGCCAGGACTGGGCCAGGCTGGAGCCAGGAGCCTAGAACTCAGTCTGGGTCTCCCAAGCGTGTGTGGCAGGGACCCAAGCACTCTTGCTTCCCAGAGTGTGCAAGAGCAGGAAGCTGGACTGGAAGCCCAGTAGCTGGGACTTGAGCCAGGCGCTCTGATAAAGGATTCCTGTGTCCCGAGTGGTGATTTAACCCCACACCCAATGCCTGCTCCTTGTGAGCTATTTGAAAAGCCATTATCTTATTTTTTTTTTAAGGTTTATTTATTTGAATGGCAGAGAGACAAGAGAGAGAGGGAGAGACAGATAGAGATGCAAAGAGAGCTGTCTTCCATCCTCTGATTCACTCCCCAAATGGCTGTAAGAGCTAGGGCTGGGACAGGCTGAAGCTAAAGCCTAGAACTCCATCTGGGTCTCCCACATGGGTGCAGGGGCTTAAGGACTTGGGCCATCTTTTCCTGGGGGAGGGACCCACCTTCTTGAGCGTCGCCTGCTACCTCCCAGGGTCCACATTAGCAGGAAACTGGACTTAGAGGAGGAGCCAGGACTTGAACCAGGCACTCTGATGTGGGATGCAGGTGTCCCGAGCAGCATCTTAACCATGGTGCCAAGCGCCTGCCTCCAGTGCTCATGTCTCAGTGCAGAGTAGAGAGTGAGGGTTGGGTGGCTCCCAGAGGAAGCCGTCCTCCCAGAGGGGAAATGGGAGGAGATGGGTGTGAGTGTTCCCTCCTCTCCCCAGCCCCTGCCAGGGCCTCACCAAAGCTCTAACTCCCCACCCCGCTGCTTCCCTCCAGTCTGGCAGAATGTCTTTCTTTCCATTTCTGCCTACAAGCCACAAAGCTATTAGAGGGCTGAGCAGGACACAGAAGCTCACCCTCCATCCCAGTCCATCAGTGAGCAGCAGGCCTTGCGGGGAGCTAGGATCACGTCCCCACTGCGGGATGGGGCTGTCCCGTTCTACGGCTTGGTCGGCTGGGGGAGCTGGGGAGAGAGGGTCCCTGCGCTGAGCCGCCTCCCCCTCCCCAGGGGTGGAGAGCATCACTGTGTACGAGGAGATCCTGCGGCAGGCCCGGTACCGGCTGCGACATGGAGCTGCCCTCTACGCCAGGAAGTTCCGGCTTTCCTGCTCCGAGATGAACGGCCGCTACTCCAGCAATGAGTTCATTGTGGAGGTACGCGGACAACCTCTCTCCTTCGTGGTTACCCATCCTTGGAGAGGTGCGGGGGGCCTGATAGCTGCTGGGCAGATGGACGACCCCGAGACCTGGCACTAGGGGGAGGACAGGAGGCCACGTGGGCAGGAGTTACAGGAGGAGCTGGGCTCCAGAGGGGTGAGGCATGGCCGGGGGAGAGGCGGATGTGTCCATGGAGCCCTCCCTCTGTCCAGGTCAACGTCCTGCACAGCATGAACCGTGTTGCCCACCCCAGCCACGTGCTCAGCTCCCAGCAGTTCCTGCACCGTGGTCACCAGCCTCCCCCTGAGATGGCTGGACACAGCCTGGCCAGCTCCCACCGGAACTCCAGTAAGTAAGGCTGGGTGGGCCAGACAGGAAGGGAAGGTGGCAGGTGAGGGGCCTGGGTGCAGGTCCTCCTTTGCTCGCCCCATCCCCACCCCAGGATGGAATTATTCGGGGCGGGGCCTTGTGGTTTGTGATCTCCAGCTCAGCTAGCTACCCAGCCCATATCACTATGACATGTGTAGTTATGTGCCATCTGCAGAGGGTATTTCTATAACAAAATATGCAAAGTGTTCTCTCCAGGGCGAAGCAGCTGTGTTCCCTGGCCATGCTTCTTTATTCAGTGCTGCCATTTTATTTAGTTAGCTTTTAAATTGCATTTTTAAAAAAAAGATTTATTTTATTTATTTGAAAGCCAGAGTGACAGAGGGAGGGAGAGACAGAGGAAGAACAAAAGAGAGAGAGTGAGAGATCTTCTGTCCACTGGTTCACTCCCCAAATGGTCACAACAGCCAGTGCTGGGTTGGGCTGAAGCTGGGATGCTGGAACTTCACCCGGGTCTCCCATTTGGGCAGCAGGTGCCCATGCACTTGGGCCATCTTCTGCTGCTTTCCCAGGTACGGTAGCAGGAGGCTGGGTTGGAAGTGGAGCAGCTGGGACTCGAACCATTGCTCCAATATAGGATGCTAGTGTTGTAGGCAGCGGCTTAACCTGTTGTGCCACAATGCTGGCTCTGCAATTTTAATTTTTCTCAATTGACAATTGCTCAATTGTAGCAAAATTGGAAAATGCAAGTATAAGAAGGAAATTCAGCCATGATTCCAGAGGAGAGCACAGTTACTATGGTATATGTTCCTCTCATTTTTCTATGCTTATTTTTTTTCTGTTTACAAAGTTGGAATCAAACTGTTTTTGAACCTGCTGTTTACACTTGGCATTATAAAACAAATCCCGCACATTATTAAAAACTGCCAAGTGATGATGATGTTGTTGAAGGTGATTTTTGGACTCCCTTTACAGAGTTGTTGTTTGTTTTTTTTTTTTTTTTTTTTGACAGGCAGAGTTAGACAGTGAGAGAGAGAGAGAGACAGAGAGAAAGGTCTTCCTTCTGTTGGTTCACCCCACAAATGGCTGCTACGGCTGGCACGCTGCGCTGATCCGAAGCCAGGAGCCAGGTGCTTCCTCCCGGTCTCCTATGCGGGTGCAGGGCCCAAGCACTTGGGCCATCCTCCACTGCCTTCCCGGGCCACAGCAGAGAGCTGGCCTGGAAGAGGGGCAACCGGGACAGAATCTGGCACCCCAACCGGGACTCGAACCCGGAGTGCCAGTGCCGCAGGCAGAGGATTAGCCAAGTGAGCCACGGCACCGGCCCTACAGAATTGTTTTTAAAGCCGACTTATGCGGCATTAATTTTTGTAACTTTTTAGACACACGTTCTTTTTGGCTCAGGTCAGTATTACCCAACTTCCTCATCCCCTTTTGTAAGACTTGGCTCTGGATATCATTTTAAGTTCAAAAACATCAAGCCCAGTCTCAAAGCCTGTGCATTTGTCACGATTGGAAAAAGCCAAAAGCTTGTGTCACAATTCCCTATGAGTTCCGTGAGTGCTTTTTTGGAATAAGTTCATGGCCACCAAACGCTGCTGTGAAAACACGGCCCCAGTTCTTGCAAGTAATGGTCATAAAAACTAACCCCGTGAGCTCTTGTGTGCCAGGCACGGTTCAACCCCGGGGTTTACACACAACAGATGAAATAGGCTCTGGAATTAGCCCCTGTGAATGCAAGGGAGTGGAGGCACAGAGAGGTCAAGTACCCTCCCCAAGATCACACAGCTGGAAAGAGCTGCTGCCAGGACTCAGATCCAGGCAGCCTATGCCAGAGCCTGCGCCCTCACATTGGTCCTCTGTGTCCTCTATGTTGGCTGACTTCTAAATTTTTAAGTTGGTCTGTCTTCATTTTAAAAAATGATTTATTTATTTATTTGAGAGGTAGAGTTACAGACAGAGAGAGGAAGAGACAGAGAGAGAGGTCTTCCATTCGCTGGTTCACTCTTCACTCCCATAGATGGACACAATGGCTGGAGCTGAGCTGATCTGAAGTCAGGATCCTGGAGCTTCCTCCAGGTCTCCCACATGGGTGCAGGGACCCAAGCACTTGGGCCATCTTCTACTGCTTTCCCAGGCCATAGCAGAGAGCTGGATTGGATGTGGAGCAGCCGAGACTAGAACTGGTGCCCATATGGGATACTGGCACTGAAGGCTGGGGCTTTAACCTACTGCACCACAGCGTCGGCCCCTGCCAGTCAGATGAGACTCCTGGTGGATCCAGGTGCTGCTGGGCCTGCTCAGTCCAAATTTTTTTTTTTTTTTTTTTTTTTTTTGGTTTGAGGCTCCAGGTGATGAAGTCCTTGTTCTAACTGCCCCAGAGCTTCCTCCCCTCAGTGTCCGCTGCCCCCTGCCCCGAGTGGTGGTAGGTGATGCCTCCCATTGCCACCGCCCACTGTCCTCCCTTCGCCTCCCCACAGTGAGGCCCGGCTTCCCCTGAGACGTCAACAGACAGCAGCAGCCTGCCTTCGTGCCTTCCTCCCTTTGGGTTTGAGTAGGCGCAAAGGCCACGGGTTTCCTGAGGGCACTGGGGATGAACATCACCTGGGCACTGACTCCTCAAGGTGTCCTGCCCTTTCGCCTCCTACCTCTCAGAGTCGTGTTGCAGAGCAGGGTTTCACAATATCGCACTACTCTGAGCATGCAGAAGCAGTAAGGACGCAGTCTCCATCAGCAGGTCTGAGGCTTATGGCTCCGCACTCCCGAGTGCACCAGCAACCAGACACTGGTGTGAGTTAAGACAGCCAGGGTTTCCCAGTACGCGTAATGGTAGAGCCTGGATATGGCTGGCTGCAAGGGATTTGGGATGGGTATGACAGAGAATGAGAATTTGGAAGTGGGGGTATGTGGGTGGCAAGGGGTGTTTATGTTGAGGGAGAATAAGATTGTCTGAGAAGGAAGAGACCAGATGACCAAGATATTATGTATCTCATCAACCCAAACTTCGATGCAGACACAATCACCAGGAAGCCTTCCTAAGCTCTTGGTGTCTGAGTGCCACCCACCCCAATGGAATCAGACTGGGGTGGGAGCAGGCATCACGGTGTGATCTCAGTGGGCACCAGTGCTTCCTGCTTTGTTTCCTACAATTACCTGAAGCTTTGCAGAAAGACATCAAAGCGGGGCCAGTGCTGTGGCGTAGTGGGTAAAGCCACCACCGCCTGCAGTGTTGGTGTCCCATGTGGGTGCCAGTTCCAGCCCTGGATGCTCCTCTTCTGGTCCAGCTCCCTGCTAATGTGCCTGGGAAAGCAGCAGAAGATGGCCCCAGTCCTTGGGCCCCTGCATCCGCATGGGAGACCCAGAAGAAGCTTGGGGCTCCTGCTTTGGATCGTCTTGGCTCTGGCTGTTGCAGCCGTTTGGGGAGTGAACCATGGGTTGGAAGATCTCTCTCTTTCTGTCCCTCTGTCCCATCTGCTGGTTCACTCCCCAAATGGTCACAATGGCCAGAGCTGGGCCGATCTGAAGCCAGGAGCCAGGAGCTTCTTCTGGGTCTCCCACGCGGGTGCAGGGGCCCAAGCACTTGGGCCATCTTCTGCTGCTTTCCCAGGCACATTAGCAGGGAACTGGATCGGAAGAGGAGCAGCCAGGACTGGAACCGGTGCCCATGTGGGATGCCAGCACCGCAGGCGTCAGCTTTACCCACTATGCCATAGTGCCAAGGGTGGGCCAGAATTTTGACTGTGAGCCTCCTGGTAGCTGAAGCAAAGGAAACTAAAGCAGTTATGGAAGTCCTGTGATAGGAGCCAGCTGGTCTTTCAAGAGAAGCCCTGGGACCAAGCGCAGAAGTGTCTGCTGGCACTACGTGGGGCTATGGCCAGCGCCTGTGACAGCATCCTAACAATCTCGTGGGCCACTTGCTAAGATTCCCCCTGAGCACTGGCTGCAGAACACTCAGGCCAGAATTAACTGCCGAGCCCAACACAGACAGGTTCATTGCTCTGCTTCATCTCTTGATTATTTTTATTTATTGCCAATTAAAAAACCCTCCCAACCCTCTTTGGCCTCCTGGCTCATCTTAAACTAATCTGCCAGAGCTGTTGGTCTGTGGATGGCGTCTGCCTTTCGTTTTTCTTGTGGCCACTTCTTTTTCCTGGCAGTCAACCTGTCATTTCCTTCACCAGGCCAGGGGCTCAAAGGGACAAATGCATTTCATTAAGGCACAAACCAGAGACTGGCTCCTTAGCGCTGTACCTGGAGAGCGGGGCGCGGGGTATGCCTGCTTGTAGAACCTGGGCTTAGCCAGAGGGGCAGGCAGTGGGGGAGTCGCCCTCCCGTGGGTCATGTCCAGCGCCTCGGAGACTGGGAGGGATCTGTCCTCTTCTCCCGCCTTCTCCTGTCCCCAGGCAGTTGAGAAATGCTGGTGCCACCGGGCCCATCTTGGATTCAGAGCCAGTGCCCAGGGATCCTACCCGCCCTGCTCCCACAGAGTCCACTCTGATTGGCTAGTGGCCCCCTGTGGGCTGTGGATCAGGTCAGGATGTGGACCAGCTTGGCAGAGAGCTGCCAGAGGGCTGTTTCAGGGAGTGTGCAGCGGGCAGGCCTGCCCGGGCAGGGCACTCTCCACACACCTGCTTGACCTTGGAACGTGCGGCAGTGTGAGTGTGCTGGCTGTGGTGAGAAGGGGTCTTCAGCAGGGTGCAGGGGGCTCCCGTGCTGTCTGTTTCTCTCTTGGCATGTGTGTCTCAGGCTGGAGGTAAATTTGGGTCTGGGCTGGAACTGTGTGCGTGTGTTGCTCTCTGAGTGTGTGTGGTGGGGGGCACGTACACATGGACTAGTGCCTCAGCACCAGCACTGCCCACTTGCACATACCAGCGACGGGCAGGGCTGTGCCCTCATGTGGGGTGCAGTGACCCAGCTGCCTGCGAGGGCCCTGGGCCTGGGTGTGCTTGTGTGGGGTCACCTGCTATCCCTGGGGCTGTGGGCTCTCTCGCTTTGCTTCCTCTGGCCTCTCCGAGTGCTGTATGTGTGCGTGCAGATGGGCAGGGCTGGGCTCACGGCTGCTTGCTCTGTGGCCCTCACTGCCCACGTCTGCGGTGTTTATGTCCTCCTTCAGGGCCTTGCCTGGGCTGCTCAGCTGGTGGGGAGCTGGGTGAGTCTGCACCTAAGGCTCTTCTGTGCCTTGCTGGAGACCCTCAGACGCATTCCTTTCCGACCACCGTGTGAGCAGGTTGCCTGGGGGCTGGTGCGTGCAGTCATGTGGGCTGGCGGAGGCCTGGGGCAGGTGTGGGGTGTGGCCACCTGTGTCCAGCTGTGCGCCCGCACGCTCTTCCTGGGCACATGCCTGTGCCTGCACACCTGCCTTGCCGCCGTCAGCTCTAAGATCCATGTGAGAGTGCACACCCCTCTCCGTTTCTCCCTGCGTTTCGGGGCCTGGGCGCCCCTGACTCTGGGCCTGAAAGTGAGGCTGCTAGACTGGAGGCAGGGGAGGGCCCAGAGGGAGGAGCCAGAGCCACCCCAGGGGGCGACTTGGGAGGAGCAGAAGCCCCGGAAGCCCAGGCGCCCCAAGCCCACCAGGAGAAGGCAGGTGTCACCGAGCAGGCCAGGTGGTAAGTGAGCGGAGGCTGCTCCTTGCCCCTCGGGCCTGCCCCAGCCTTGAGGGCCAGCACCTTCTTCCTGCAGCCAGGCCGGCCTTGGAGTCTGTGTCTCCTGGAACACCAGGCAGTTCCTCCCTGGTGGCTGCCCTGCTCCTGTTCCTGCCCCTGCTGGGCCCTGGACACCTCTTTCCTAGCCCGAGCGGTCCTTGGGGAGGGCACAGGCTGAATGACACGGCAAGTCCAGTCCTTGTCCTCTGTGGGCGGAGATACGTGCCATGGCAGCAGCGCTGGGCTGGGAGGCTCCCTCCACCCCGCTTGGCCCCTGCAGCATCTTTCTGTTCTCCCTGCCCTGCTCCGTGGGCTGTTTGCTTTCCAGCTTTTCAGCCCACTCCCCTCTTCCGGGCCCCTGTGGACGCCGTGCCCTCTTACTCTGGGAGAGTGCCCCCTCCCCATCCTCCCTGAGTACCAGTTTCCCCGGGAGAGCCTGGCCCTGCTCTGCTCAGTGCCTGCTGTCCCCACAGTGGTCCCAAGCGCTGCGACCCTCATCATCGTGGTGTGCGTCGGCTTCTTGGTGCTCATGGTCGTCCTGGGCCTTGTCCGCATCCACTCCCTTCACCGCCGCGTGTCAGGGACCGGCGGGTCCCCGGGCGCCTCCAGTGACCCCAAGGACCCCGACCTCTTCTGGGATGACTCCGCCCTGACCATCATCGTGAACCCCATGGAGGTGAGCGCCCTGGGGAACTGCACAGGCCCTGCAGAGATTTAAGCAAGGCCGGCCTCAGCCTCGTGGCTGGGCTGCAGGGAGCAGGGAGGAGAAAGCTCAGCCTGGGGGTGGGGGTGGACAGTGGGGAGGGATTTGCGGCCCATGCCGGGGTGGCCCTAAAGGAGAGGCCGTAGTGTGCGGGCGCCGATGCCCTGCTTTCTGGTGCCACAGTCCTACCAGAGTCGCCAGGCCGGTGTGGTAGGGGCTGCCGGCGGCGGCCAGCAGGAGGACGAGGACAGCAGTGACTCAGAGGCAGCCGACTCGCCCAGCAGCGACGAGAGACGCATCATTGAGAGCCCCCCGCACCGCTACTGAGGCCCACACCCGTCCCCAGACACAGAGAGAGCTACGCCTGGGGGAGGCAGACCCCCTGGACAAGGGAGCGGGGCGTTCTGAGACAGAGGGACCCGGAGGCTGCCAGCTGTGCAGGTGGAGCCTGCACAGATCCCCGCGGGGCCCCCTACACCGCCTACCCCACCCCAGCCCACCTCCTGCCCTGGCCTCTGGGTCCCCTTTCCCCTGTGGCTGCCAGGGCAGGCTGCGCTGGAGAGATGGCTGGAGACCTCTTCTGCACGGCGACCCTGTGCCGCGGCCGCTGTCCCCTTGGCTCACCTGTGTCTCTGGGCCCATCCCAGTCCTGCCACGCACTGTCTTGGGGGCGGCACGGTCTTGGGGGTGACAGTAGCTGTGGCTGGGGCCAGGGTGGGATGGCAGCAATCCCTCTGGGTCCCCTTCTCTAATCTCTCCTGTCCCCTGGAGCCTCCCTGGGCTCCCTCACTTCTCTGAGAGTCCCCCTCGCTCTCCTTCCATTTCCGTCTGGGGATCCCTGCTTCTCCTCTCCCCCACTTCCCTTCCCTTTTTGCCCTCTTTCCTGTCCTGCCTTCACAGTCCTGAGCCCCTACAGCCTCCTCGCTTCCTCTGTGACCCGGCTGTGGCCGGGTTGTGGGGGTGGCCGAGGAGAGGGGCCTCGTGTGTATTATATATAATGTATATTTTTTCAATGTTGTCGTGAGCGCAGCTCCTGTGTTCCTGCGTGCAGCTCACAGCCTTGTGTGTGCGTGTGTGTGTGTGGCATTGTCATGTCCTGGGGTGGAGGTAGGGGGATGGGTGTGTGGGGGAGGGGACACACCCTGGGATTTTCAAATAAAACAACCAGAAAAAAGCTCCATGAGTTGTCTCCTGTCTGCTGATCCTGAGTGGGTGCGGGTAGCAGGGGACATTCAGGCCTCTGGGCAGGACTGGGAGGAGGGGACAAGAGTGGTTGTCTTTGGTGCCCTGCCCAGGTAAACCTCAGGACCGCAGGCCCCTGGGACAATCAGTTGGGGGCATAGGGCCCCACTGCCTTCTTTCTTTGAGAAACCGGTGGAAAAAAATATGCAATGCAGGGAGTGCTCTGGGTGTCTGGGCAGATGCCCAGTGCTTTGTGGGAGTCATCGCCAGCCCCTCCCATTGGACCTGGAGCACTGCCCCTGGGGCCCAAGGGCTACCAGCGTCCTGTTCATAACAAAAGGACTGGCGGTTGCCCCATGGCTGGCTGACCTCCGTGAGCATCCTCGGCGCTCAGGCCTGGGGGACTTCTGCTTTGTCCACGTGTCATAGCTGCAGAGACGGAGCCCTCCCCACGCTTTCCCAGCAGCCAGGTCGCCCCTCCGCAGCCTTGTGTGCTGTGGTTCGGTGGCCCAGGTCTGCCGTGGCTCTGGGGGTTGCAGGGCAGTAAGTGGAAGGGGTTGTTTCAGAAGCGTGAGCTGCAAGGGGAGCATCCTCCTCCGGTGCTGCCCCCGCCCCAGGAAGTGTCAAGCTTATTTACTTTTTATTTCATTTTATTTGGAAGGCAGAGAGATAGGGGAGAGAGCTTCCATCCACTGGTTCACTTCTCAAGTGCCAACCACCGGGAGGGCTGGGCCAGGTCAAAGCTGGGAGCCAGGATTCCATCAGGATCTCAAGTACTTGAACAATCACCTGCTGCCTCCCAGGGAGTGTATGAGCAGGGAGCTGGATCAGATGTGGAGCGGCGGGGACTCTGATGTGAGAGGCAGGTGTCCCGAGTGGAGACTTAACCATGGCACTGCCTGACAGAACAGACATAAGCCTCAGCCATTCTCTGCTCATTGCCCAAAAGGTAGATAAACACTGGAATGTATATCACCCTTGAATCTCAGTTAGGACTCACACCCTGTTGCCTTCATACCCCATGAGGAATTCCCCTCTGTCTGCTACCCCCACCCCACCCCCATCCCCAGCACTCCTTTTTTTTTTTTTTTTTTTTTTTTGACAGGCAGAGTGGACAGTGAGAGAGACAGAAAGGTCTTCCTTTGCCGTTGGTTCACCCTCCAATGGCCGCCGTGGCCAGCGCATCACGCTGATCTGATGGCAGGAGCCAGGTGCTTCTCCTGGTCTCCCATGCGGGTGCAGGGCCCAAGGACTTGGGGCCATCCTCTACTGCACTTCCGGGCCACAGCAGAGAGCTGGCCTGGAAGAGGGGCAACTGGGACAGAATCTGGCGCCCCGACTGGGACTAGAACCTGGTGTGCCGGCGCCGCAGGCGGAGGATTAGCCTAGTGAGCCGCAAGCCCTCCTAAAATATAAAAAGGTCCAGCCCCTGGGTCGAGGCCTTTTGCCACTTGTCCCATCAGTGTGCACGCCGGCAGCTGGCCACCCACCTATGTGAATTTATTTTCTCTGAATAAATTCAGTCTGGCTGTAAATTCGTACCCGGACTCCTCTCTGCTCTGTGCCTCTGTTCCTAGCATCGCCTGCTCACCCCGCAGCTCCTTGCTGTAGAAGGAGGGCGTCGGTATCAGTACAGTCCCGCCAGTTCTCGGTGGGCTGGCAGAGATGCTGCCCCAGGCACCTTTGCTTCTACCGGGGGCTCCATCCTCGCCCGTGGCTCCGACCTCCAGTGTGTGTCGCTGCCTCCAGGTTTGAGTCAGCAGGGCCTCCTTCCCCTACCTGTGGCGTTTCCACCTGCGTGTCCTGTGCCTCCAGCTCAGCCTTTCCCCGCATCTGCTCTGTTCTCTGTGACCTGTCGCTGTCACCTTTCACCAGTTACCTAAGCTGTGGATGTGCAGGTGCAGGTCAGTCTGTATTCTTCCCAGTCTGTCAACGCCGTGTCCAAATGGTGACTTAACCCTGTCGTTCCTACCCCTTAAAGTCTCTCAAACATACCCTTTTCTTCCTTTTTCTCAACTCACACGGCCCTCATTTCCTCCTGGTCTGTCACAGGAGCCTCCTACCCGCCTGCCACTTGCCTGGGCCCCAGGGTCCCGTCCCTCTCCTGCCCATCTTAAGTCTGCATCTCAGTGACCTGTCCCAAGGGCAGTTCTGTCTGCACCATTCTCCTACCCTCACCCCCGTCACTGCCTGGGTCAAGTCCTCGCACCGTAGGAGGCCCCCAGCCCAGGTGTGCTGGCTCCCACCTTCCCCCTCCCTGGTCTCTCTGGTGCCACTGTGCCTGCGCCCCTGGCCTCTGGTCACACACAACTGCTTGTACCTCCTAAGCTCCCCCTGCTCTTACTTGCTCTGTGGCCCTCTGCCTAGCATGTCTTATACCTCTGTGTGCCTAGTGATTTTCTACTTATCACTGAAGACTGTTCAAATGTTGCCTCTTCCAGGAAGTCTTCTGGGCTCTGTTCTTGCCTCTGTTATAGCACTAATGGCAAGGTTGCAGGACCTGGCTGTCTACCAGATTCTCTGCTTCCTCAGCTACTGGCATAGGGCCTGGCACACAGTAGGGCTCAGGAAGGTGGAGGTCAGAGGGTGGTGCCCTACACAAAGCCCCAGGAAGGGACCCCTGGGTGAGGCTTCAGAGTCGGCCTGGAGGCTGCCGGGTGCATTCCAGACTCCCAGGTGGGCAGATGTGCACATCTGTGCACCCACTCCCAGGGTGCTTGTGTCCACTGCTCCAGGCACATCTGGTGGGTTTTTGAGCCTCAAATCTGGTAACGGAAAGAGCACGCTCTGCATCAGCTTCTCCCATGGTGCTCTGCCTCGATGCATGCTGACATGTCTGCGGCAAACCCGTATGGGAGGCAGCCCTCCCCATCATCCTGGAGTTCCCCAGAGGCTCAGGGTGCAGGCTTCAAGGATCAGCTTTGGCTCTTAAAGGGGTAAAAGAGGTTTTAGCTCATTGTTCAGAACTGCAGTGAGCTCAGCCCCCTCTCATCCGTCTCTTCGCCCTGCTAATCCTCACTCATCCCTGGTCTCAGGGAACACAGCTTCCCATGCAGAGGAGCGGAAGCCATTGTTCCTGTTTGTCCCTGGAACCCACACGCTCTGAGACTTGGGACCGGGGTCTGTATGCACCATGCTTCAGGGCCAGAGCACGGTGGGGAGGGGTGAGCCTGTCTGAGCTGTGCTCACTCTAGGGAGGTCCTCACCCCTGCAGGCAGCCATGGGAGTGGATCTCTCACCATCTGCCCAACCGCAGCCTGACTCTTGCCTGCCTGGTCATCTGTCCCTGGGGCCGGGGGTGGGTTTCTTCTGAAAGGTGACTTTCTACAGCAGCTCCCTGGAGACTCTCCAGCGTCAGAACCGCCGGGCACTGCTGATTTCTTACACGAGCCGCGATTCCTGTCCGTCCTCTTTGTCCCCAGTGTCTGATGGCCCAGGGGCCCCGTTGTGTGTATAGGAGTTGAGCAGGTGGAGATGCACGGTGGGGCGGCTGGGCAAGTGCGAGTCTGGGGAAGACCTTGTGCTGCTACGCGCCCTGAACATCCGCTCTCAATCTCTGACCCCCCCCCCCCCCGTCAATCTGTCGGGGTCCGTCTCCCCTTCTGCCACACACCCATTGGGGATAGGTATCAGGGTTCCAGCCCCAGTGATGCAGGGAAGGGCAGCAGGCAGGTGTCCAAATGGGTTTTTATGCTGTTGCTCAAGATCAGGAAGGAGCTTCTCTAATCCCCTTCAGAGAAACTGGGTGTCAGGCCGCGGGCAGGTTTCTGAATCACCTGTTCCCAGTTTAATTTGCAACAGCAAACGCTTGTCCCTGGGCCTCTGCAGATCTTTTCTGCAGCAAAGTCCACTCTCGCAGCAGAATGAATTAGCTCCTCGAAAGGTGCGCGGCGAGGTGCCCTGGACACAGATCCGCTCACCAACAGCTCAGAAACGAAGCGTGCTCTTTCTGTTACCAGATTTGAGGCTCAAAAACCCACCAGATGTGCCTGGAGCAGTGGACACAAGCACCCTGGGAGTGGGTGCACAGATGTGCACATCTGCCCACCTGGGAGTCTGGAATGCACCTGGCAGCCTCCAGGCCGACTCTGAAGCCTCACCCAGGGGTCCCTTCCTGGGGCTTTGTGTAGGGCAGGTCAGGAACAAGTCTGCTCCCAACCCTCTAGAAGCTGTGGGAGATCTCACGTCCCCTTCAGATGTTAGCATCGCATTTGGGGTTCCCCAAGTGGATCCCCAAGACACACCAGCACGCCAGGCTTCCCTGCACTGTGTGTTGGTGCAGTGGCCGCCAGGCTTCCCTGCACTGTGTGTTGGTGCAGTGGCTGCTTCAGACGCCGGGGTGCCTCCTGCGGGTGTGGGTGAGGGCGAGCCAAGGATGAGTTTGCATCCTTGAGGTTCCTCTGTGCACCTGCGGTGCAGGTTGCACTCCCTCTGGCTACCCCCTGGGAGGGGAAGGGAAACAGGTGTGGAGAGAGATGCGTGAGCCCCCGGTGCATGGGCATCTGACAGAGGGGAGGGGCTGGCGCATCTCCCTCCATGCTACTGGTGTCACTGCCTCTCGCCGGGCAGGCACCACACCGTGGAGCACTTAAAATGCCCGTGTCCTCCAGGAAGAGGACAGATGAGGGCCTCATTTAGTGAGAGTGGTCGGGGGACATGGGATGGAGACTGTGGGGGATGGTAGGGCTGGCTTTGTCAGGAAGGGAATAGGGACCCTCTGTTTCCTGTGTGGGGGTCCTAGGGTGTCTCTGTCCGCAGAGCCCATCTCAGAGGCTGACTGGGATTTCTGGAGTCCTGTGTCTGCAACACCCTTCCTGGCGCCTCAGCAGGTGCACTGACAGTGCGTTCCCCTCACACACCAGCAGACTGGCGTCCTGCTACCCCTTGCTCGTGGGTCTCAGTGTGACAGGTCCTAGTGGGAAGGCACTGTTAACAAGGGCAAAAGCACCATGTGAGAAGACTTCTCATTTTTCTAGGTCACTGAAAGGAGACAGAT